TACAGACAAGTGGCAACGCCACTCGGCTTTATATAAAGCGCGAGCTAGTATACACTTCCTATTTCTATTCTGATGTTAACCTTATATCATCAAAGCGTCAAACTCTAGGGTTAGGTTGGCGGCCGCCGCCGGCTGCAATAGCAGTGCCCTCCCTCTATTTTCATTATCTATATTGCTTATTTTCTCCGTTTACTTGAATTTTTTGCTGGAGCTCGTAAGAGCTTGAAGAGATGCTATGAAGAGAAACGAAGAAAATAATCGGATTGCGGCGATGATTTTTTCAAATTCATCTCCGCAAAATGAGCTTCTATCTTCTATGGTTCGTATTCACCGAGCAGCTCTTCCATTTTTTCCACTTCCACCAAACTATTTATATTTTCAAAAAAAAATTATAATTGTTTAGAGTAATCTTAGTGCTGAGTTTTAAGATACATATATCGAAGGTCCTATGGACGAAGCGCAAAAAACCCAATGCGCTTTCGGCCAAGTTTGCTTTCGGATATCGATTTCAGAATCCGGATCTCCGAACCTGAATCATTCGGGTTCGGATTGCTTCTTACTCGGATCTGATTTCTGACATTTTTATGTTCATTTTTTCCTAAAATATGTTTTCTCCTTAAAGAAATATTAGCATAAGTGATGTTAAAGCGAAGGTCCCAGCGGAGAGGGTTGAAACTCTTGAACGAGACCTCTCTAACACAATAAAACAATACCTTCGCATATTAAACATTTGCCGAATCGTAGGAAGCTCCAAATTGCTCCATTTTGGTGCTTCTTGAACCCTTGGCTAAATTTATGAACTCATTTCTCTATTCTCAACTTCTATCTCTTTAACTGCTTTTGCTGTATATTATGTCGTATGAACACTGATTCTACACATAGGGTCTTATTGAACTGATGAATTTAGGACAAGGATATGTAAGTAATCAATTTTTCAACAATCTCTTGAGCTATGGTATTAACCCAAACAGAGTCATACTTAAATTGTAATGTGACCAATTTTAAATATGGTATTATACTACACCAGAGTCTTGTGGAATTTGTAACAAATTCTGCATAAGCTATTATTAGAGGCGAGGAATTTATTTTCCATTTATAAGCTAAATTTTATATTAATGACTAGCCAATTTTCAACGAAATGCGCTAAATACATTAATCATAGGACTAGTTTCATCGTTAGATTTGCCATTGATGTGACTAGTCAAATGTTTTATGATCAAATCTCCTATAACCAAATGCAAACACATTATTTTCAAGAACCTAAATTGAGCCCGTTTTCAAATCAATACAACTTATAATTTAAGTAGTGGCTACTTTCTAGTCTTTGCTAATGTAATCGATTGTAAATCTATCTCTATTGAATTGGTAATATCTTCAACATTAATATTGTCATTACATGTTGAATCAAATCTGAAATTGCAACTTGAACTATTTTGATCTTAGACAAGGTTGGATGAATATTATAGTTTAAAAGGTTGAGAAGCACGTGATAAAATTATTTAAATATTTTATCAACACAAAAAATGACGCTTGAAGTACTTACAAAAAAATGCTTTTCACAAATGACGGGAGTCCAAAAAAACTTCTGGTTAACACTCAAGATACTTGTAAAGAGTAACTTTTCTTTATAAGTGATTTAGAGGGTGTGTGGATTGGCTTATAAGAAGTAGTACTCTCTCCGGTCCAAAATTCTCCTTTTAATATTAATTAACTATGAAATTGATTATATTAATCTTTATTAGCTTTTTACGTAAATACTCTTAACATATAATTTAACATTATTTACTCTAAGGGCAATGTAGGGAAAAAATAATTAATTCAGCCTTGAAATTTGAAAAAATTACTCTCTCCGGTTCAAAATAAGTGATTTTTTAGTCTTTTTCTTGTGGTCCAAAATAAGTGATTTTTTCAGATTTCAAGAATGAATTAATTATTTTTTTCCTATATTGTCCTTGGAGTAAATAGTGTTGGAATATGTGTTAGGAGCGTCTATGTGAGATAGTAAAGGTTAATATGGTCAATTCCATTGCTAATTAATATTAAAAGGTGGATTTTTTAATCTATGTGGAAACATCCAAAAAATTACTTATTTTGGACCGGAGGGAGTACTTATTTTGGACTACAAAAAAGCTAAAAAATCACTTGTTATGGACAGAGAGAGTAATTTTTAAGCTAAAAGCCATAAGTTATAAGTTGTTAATATCCAACTTTTGGCTTTTGGCTTATTTTTGTACTCCCTCCGGTCCAAAATAAGTGATTTTTTGGATGTTTTCACACAAATTAAGAAATTCACCTTTTTGCATTAATTAGCAATGAAATTGACCATATTAACCTTTACTATCTCACATAAATACTATTAACACATATTCCAACACCATTTTTACTTCAAGGACAATGTAGGAAAAAAATAATTAATTCATTCTTGAAATCTGGAAAAATCACTTATTTTGGACCACAAGAAAAAGGCCAAAAAATCACTTATTTTGGACCGGAGGGAGTACTTTTTATGCCTAAAAGTAAGTGTTTTTAAGCATTTTTTATAATTACCAAATACTACACAAAATAATAAAGTGTTTAAAAGTCAGTAAGCACTTCCAAACACCCTCTTAAGCAAACTCATTTAATGTAAAATGTTTATCTAACTAAACTATTTACAGCAATTCTGAGTAAACAATTAAAAATAATCTCATCAACGAATGCCCAACACATTGTGTGTATTTTGGCGGAGGCAAATTAGCCTGATCTGAATTATCCCCTCTTTAATAGATTTACAAATGTGATGACATGTATTGACAATATTAATGCAAAGTAGTCTTTGAAAGCAAAAAGGACCTGAGATGACAACAGGATAACTAACACAGGACAAATAATGATAAAAATGACATCACACATATAAAAATGTTGTTTATATGCCTCCGATTAATGAATTAGGGTTTTAAGTTGGAAATCATGTGGTCTTTCAATTAATGTCGTTAGTGAAGCGTTTGATCGGCTTTGTTGATTTTGATTGCATGATCAATGAAGGTTTTATTTACCTGGTTTTTTACTTGAGGATGTATTCTAACCAAGATATTTCCGTACTACAATTTGGTAGCGTTTTGCTTAAGGAGGTATTCAGGTTTAGACCAAGACTTTTCAGAATGATTTTGTACCATAGTTTGGTGGGGAAAGTTACGCATAAGAAAAAGTTGACAGCATAAGGAAAGATAGTTCCCAATAGTGGCGTCGAGTCACCAAAAGAGCAATAGCTCTAGCAAACCAAAAGAGCAATAGCTCTAGCAAAGGGGAATTAAAAAAAAAAAAAAACATAACTAATACACTGTTTGATTGATTTTTTCAGATAGCATCCACATTAAAATTATATAGAAAAGTCTATTATTTTATGCAGCATACAAGATATAATTTGAAATAAGAATGTGTATTAACATTTCGGAAATTAAACCATTTAAAGACAAAAAAATGCCTTCAAATTAAGTAATTTATGCATAACAATACTCTTATTTTTAATCATAACAATGCCTTGATTATTGATAACAACATGACAGTAATTTGAATATTATTCACCGGGGGATTTGCATCTATACCCGCTTTTTGGGTCACATTTTAACTTGTACCCGCTTTGCAAAAAAAATTGTAAGCGTACCCACTTTTTCGCGTAACTTCAGCATACGAGCCTGAAGTAGCAGAGCCAATCACGCAAACTTCAGCATTCTAGTAGACGGGCTTGAAGTAGCAAAAATTGCTGAACCAAGTGTGTTGAAGTTTTTGTTTGTAATTGCTGAACTTAAGCATTCTAGTGCTGAAGTTTTGTTCTCTTGCTGAAGTTTTTATTTGTAATTGTTGAACTTAAACATTCTAGTAGCTGAAGTTATTTAGTTCATTTGTAAAAACTTCAGCACTAAATAAACTTCAGCATATTTAGTTCATTTGTCATAAAGCTTTTTCAAAAACTTCAGCATATTTAGTTCGTTTGTAAAAACTTTAGCACTAAATAAGTTGAAGTGTTTTTTTGTCCTGGATTCATTAGTTTTGTGATAAGCTTTTTCAACAACTTCAGCAGAAGATGCTGAAGTTGTTTAGTTCATTTGTAAAACTTCAGCACTATATAAGTTGAAGTTTTTGAAAAAGCTTTCTAACATACTAGATAAATAATTACCATAGTCTTTCATAGTGTATTACTACTATAAAATAACAATTGCCAACAGTATCAAATCATAAATTTTGGAAACAATAAACGTGAAAAGAACAGAATTATCATGAAAAGAATCACTAAGTATGACCTTAAACTTCCCGTATGTGGAAATATTCACAAATTATTGTCTACTAACTTACGTAATTATTTATAATTTCTTTTTAAATAATCTAATAAACATACTTATGGCAACCATCCCATGAACTGAAGTTTCATAGCAGCACCAATAGCAGCAGAAGAAAGAAGAAGAAGAAAACGAAGGAGGAGAAGGAGGAGGAGAAAGGGGGCTGAAGTTGTTAAAAAATCGGGTACAAGTTAAAACTTTTAAAAAAAATGAGTATAGGTTAAATGGGGGCGACCAAATAGGACGTCCCGTGCTATTTTTATTTATTCACCATAAATAATCTCTGCAATATTTTTTGAGAGTAACAATCTCTGCAATAACACTCCCATATAGAGGTGGCAAAATGTTTAAAAGAAAACAGTTCATATTATCCACTAAAAACGAGTTGAATAATGAACTTTTTAAAAACGGGTCAAATATGGATAAGAACCATATTATCCATTTAGAAAATGGATAACCAATGAGTTTAACTTTCATATTTGTAAAACCTCAAATTGGGGGTTCTTCAAGTTTGGGAGACTAGAAATTCTCCCAAAAGTCATCATATTCAAGAACTAATGGATAATATGGTTACCCATATTATCCGCCGGTTAATCCGTTTTTTATCCGTACTAAATATGAGTCGGGTCGAACGATTTATCTGTTTGTTCATTACCCGCTTTCGACCCGAACCATATCCGATCCGACCTGAACGTCTGCCACTTCTACTCCCATATAACAAGTATATGATCCAGACGACCCTAAGTAAATTAACAAAATCTGTAATTCTTCCTACACAGTACTTGCCGGTTGAAGCTGAACATCTGCAAACATGCTTCCTACTATCAAATTAATAAGAATGGTTACAAACATTGGTCAGTGAAGATTTATATAGTCAACCCCGACTAGCTTGGGATTGAGGCGTTGTTGGTGGTGCTATACACATTGACAAAAACTTGATCTTGATGACTGAGACTTGCAAGGAAAATGTTCAATCCATCAAACTGGTAGCTATCACGGCAATATCAGCTCCTGCTACTTGATACTCTTGAAAAGAATATCAGCATGTCCGGTCTCCTAGCAACGTCTTCTTTGACCAGTGTTGTACTTGAATCAACCTGTCTCAGGACAAAGTCAGTCCATCATGTCTGCCCTTGAAGCTATATTAATCACGACGCAGGGAGAGAGATTAGGTACATGCATTTTGTCTGTGTCCTCCAGAAGCATCAATGATGCAGTGCTGAAAGACCCCCGATAATTTAGTAGGATAACCATCAAACCAGGCCATCTAGAAAGTGATGCGTCTGCACTACGGAACCACCTATAAGAATGTCATTTAGGCTTCACCAGGTAGGATGCCCATATCTCATCTGCTGGAGGTGGTGGCTGGACCCAATGCCCAGGTATTCGGCTGCATCAACACACAGAAGTTTGGTGGGGGAGAGGGCGAAGGGGAGTTGTTAGATACCGATACGTCTGGCATTTGCCATATGCAGACATAACTTGTCATGAAAAATAGGAAAAAAAATTCTATTTTGTTAGTTTAAATGAAAGAGATCCCAAAGAGTAGAGATTTAAAGGAGAACATTGCGAAAAGACGCTAAAGGGTCAAATAGCACATTTCGAATGCAAAACGATATAGCTTTTCAACAATACAAAAGCAGTGAGAGCCAAATACCAGACTAGTTGTATGAATCTAATCCTTCCAGCCTTATTAGTAGTATTCTTTTAGTGGCTGAGTCAAAAATGTTAAATCACACATGATTAAGTGAACTACCGAAATCTAAAAACTTGTATGGTGGTAATAAGGATATGATATCTAGGTGAGAATATTAACACAGTATCAGAAAATGTGATTGATGTAAGCATCAAGAGATGTTCCTTTTTGACCTTTTTTCTCACATTTACTGCTAGTTCTTTCCATGTCAGTGAAAACCTAGTAAATAAGGAAATGACTAATGCAACTGGTGCTTTTGTACCAGCAAGATTAAGCAAGATATATTTACCTTCCTCCAGGTCTGATGTATGCATCCCATGTTCTTCTTACCTGCATAGAAGGAGGAAAAGGTTTCATGTAGCGCAAGCCTATAAATAGTCAAGCATAATTAACTTTTACATTTTTTCTAGCAAGAACAATTAACATATAGAAACGAATAGAATGGCCTTCAATCACAATGATATGCAAATCTACTGCAGGAGTAAATAATTAGCAAGACATTAGCCAAGATCACCTCTATAAGCGTTCCCAAATCATGATTACTGCCATAGTAATAGTGATAAAATTCCAATGGCAGATTTGCGACAGAATCATGTAAGCTGGCTGAGCCTAGCCCTTCAGGTCTGCCCTTTTCCATCTCATTGACAGGCGTTGAACCTGATTTATCTTTACTCTCAGTCGTCTGGTCTTGATTTATTTTACCGGCACCAGTATTAGCATGCAGGTCACCAGGCTCTGGTCTATGACTTGGAATTGTTTTCCTGGATCCCTCAGCAGTAGCAATTGCATCCTTAGCAGCATCTGTTTCAGCTGCTGCCTTTGCCTGTCGCTCTTCTTCCTCAACTGTAGCTCTTACTCTTTCTAGAAACTTGTCATCCTCTTCCGGAAGAAAGTGACCTATTCAAGTATAAACAACGATGTTACAAATTAAGTGAAGAAGATTGATGTCTTTGGGGCCAAAGGGGAAAAGACTGAGGGTAAAAGGTAGTGTCTTTCATAAGTAAGGGTTCTACTCCGTCATCCCGCAATGCCAAATGTTTACAGGTTTTAGCAAATTGTTGAGGAACTATATTAGCTTATACAAATTTCCAAAATATTGATGTAATGATTTTCAGTAGCAGAACTCTCAATCTTTAGTTTCTGAATATCTATGCTGAAACGAACAGCATACAGAAATAGTTACATATAGAAAACACAGTAGCTGCATAAGTGGGTTAAATTCTCCGCAGATGTCATGAAGCAAAAGAGGAAGCTGCCAATGATAATCACCCAGTTGCAGCATTAAAAAAGAAATTATAATCCCAAGGGAGAAACCACTATTTCCTTCGCCAAATTCATTTTTCCCACTGAGCATCTCGTAGTTGTATTACATGAATAAAAACTTATTTATGATAGACTGTTTTAAAAAATCCATGTGGAAAACACTGCATGATTTTACTTAAAAAGTGCAGATTTCAACCACAAATATAGCAGTTCCATTAGAAACTGAGCAAAAAATAATTTATTTGAAAGGAAAGGATCGTACAAGCTAGGATAAACTAAAAGGAAACACTAAGACAGATCAACGCCATTGGAATATTTACCTTGCTTCTTCAACTTCTGAACCCTGATGGAACGTAATTCTTGCAATTTCTCTACCATCAATGCCAGCTCAAGCTGAAAGCAAAAATAAAAGTGACTCAACATCATCATACCATGAAATAAAGGGTACCACTATATTAAATTACTTGGGTATCATCTCAAATAAACCATAAAACCAGCCTCACATATCTTGTGGTATTGAAAAGGAACCTTTGTCTTTTTGTGGAGGAGGGGTTATGTCTGGCAGAATTTGTTTACAGTACAAAGAAGCAGGAGCAAAACTAAGCCATGGAAACATTGAACTGTGTCATGAATATGGTGCCACACCATGTCAAAACTCTCAGAAGTTTCTATGATCCTTAAGTTATTGCTAGATCAGTTGTGGAAAAACTATGGGAACTTCAACAATCATGTCCAGTCTGAATGAATAAGCGGTTAATTTCCCTCTCACCTCAGATTCTAGTCTCTTTTTATCCTGTTTTTCCTTTAGCTTTGCTATTTCCTTCATCTTTTCAACCTGCACATAGACCCTCAGTAACTGAGCAATATGTAATGCAATTGAACATTTACTGTGAATATGGACAAAAGAAACTGTAGGAACTAAGTTTTGGTAGCTCAGTGACACCCAATGCATAGCCCAGAAAATCCAGAAGCATTACTAGTATAGTATGACATCATAAAATAACACACACAATCCATTAGAACCCAATATACTAGTTCTTCTTATTAAGCATATAATGCAGTGCAATGCTTCCGGCTATGGAAATTTGTGATTCCAAAATAATGTAAATACAGGAGGATTTAACGAAAAAGTTATGAGATTAACAAACAAGTGATATTATTAGGTATAAAGATCAGAAGAAAAACATGCACAACGAACGACATTATGCCTTAGGTGCATGTCATGGGTTCGAATCCTGCCGCAGACAGTGGAGAAGGGTAGAAGGGCAAGCCCATTATTTGAGTTTCGAACCTTGTGCACTGACCCTCGGGTATCCGGAAACCACTATGCCTCAAAGGCAAGCAGAATGGTTAACTATGAAATTTAATATTTTTGGTAAACCAAGAAAAAAAGCAATTTCCAGATAGTGAAGAGTTGTTCAATGAGTTGGATTACCCAACAGATCTATGAGGCAATAGCCTCATCATGGTGGGTAGGCTGTAAAAGGGCTGAGGTCAAATAATAGGTTCTTAAAATCTGATACGACTATTGCTCAATGGATATCCAATCAAGGATGGGAACTAAGATCAAGATGGAATTGTAATGATTGAAAAGTTGGAAAGAATCTCCACTCTTCTAAAAGAGCTAGAAGATACAGCACATCATATAATGAGCCTAACTCCCTGATATGGAATGCAAGAAACAATAGAATATTCGCAGCAAAGTTTTGCCATCAGACTTTACTAGCAGCACGGAATTCATTTGATACTTGGGCTTGGAAACTCATTTGAAAAAGCAAAGTTCCTTTAACGGTTGTTTGCTTTAAATGGAAAGCTTTATGCACATCTTCATTTTGTCTAGCGTAAAGCATTCTGTACATTCTTTCTTTTGTTCCTAAATGGTACATTGATGCTATCCCACTGTTTCTTCCCATAATCTTCTGCATATTGATGAACAGAAACACCATGGAGTAGCGCATTTTAAAATGTTCAAAATGTTACAATGAGCAAAGTTTTGAAGAGCAAGTAATGTATCAAATATGTTTTTGCTACATCCACAAGATAAAGAAACAGAAACCTTTTAAGGCATACTTAGTCACCAAGATTAAGAACTAGTTAGAAGATATAAAATTAATAGGTTGTCAGTGAATAGCTTGTGAAAAAAGAAAAAATAAATAGACGACGGTAAAATATAGACATCATAAATTTTAGTATACATTTGTTGTCTTCAAACATTTCATCTCACTATATGCACTATTTATGGTTCTAATTTCTTTTTCTTTTTTTAAATGTTTGTGGGCTAATGATTGAAAAGTTTTAACAAGTGCTCAAACCCAAGCAGTACAAGCCAACACAGAGGGCTTCTACTTTCTCAAAAACAGGATGCGAATACTAAACAAGTAATTTTAGTACTCTGCAGTTTCAGTATCAATACCTTGCGTTTTGCAATATCCTTGGCTATCTCTCTGGCCCTCCACTCATCAGCTTCCATATCAATTTGGTCAAATTGCTCTCGCTCCTAAAAATTAATGCAACATCAGAAATCAGAATGCTAAAACAAATAACACAAACACCTTATACTTAGAGATTAAAATTGCAAAAAATAGTAAAGACACTGAAAAAGCGGAATACAGTATAGCTAGCACCTTTGCTAACTTTTCTGCTACGTGTTTCCTCTTCCTTTTTCGCCAAAGTTTGTTCCTTTTGTACTTGTGCATTTTATTTGCTAATCTAACAGCTGCAGACTTTTCTTCCCAAGGGGCCATCTCATCTGTGATAACCCTAAAAGGTTCCAACTGAGCTCTCAATTTTGATATTAGGGCATTAGCCGCTTCCAACGACAGGGATTCTTGGCTTTTCATATTGATCCTAGAATGCTCGATAAACTTCACAAAACTATCTATAGAGCCTTCATCAGCCCCATTCTCTGAACCCTCTTCAGATTTTTCTTTCTCGTCTTTCAACCTACTCAACATTTCCAGCTCCTTCTTCCTGCTCAAGTATTTCAAAATTCAAAAACTAGGAAGATAAATGGGAGCACATATACCAGATTCATAAACAATAACGCTTGTAATAGTGCTACTGATTTGAAGTTTCAAGCTTTAGTTACTAAACAAAGTTCTCACTAGCCCCAGTTGCCTAACCCCTCTCAGAATTTTCTATCTTTCACCCTAATTAACATTTCCAGCTCTTTTTGCCTGCTCAAAACATTCCAAATTCAAAAGCCCAGAAGACGAACATGTAAGCACTATCAAATTAGTACTCAATTAATGCGTACATAAAGGAGTTCCTCAATCAAAATTTAGCCCCATTTTCCGAACACCCCCCCCCCCCCCCCCGGGCCTAAGTAGCATTTCCAGCTATTATTATCCGAATTACGAAATGTAGAAGCCCTAAACATGAACACTTCAAAACTGCATTTTTTTTTTCTCATTAAGCTTCCGTTGTTTGAAATCCACTGGCCTGAGCAATACTTATTTGCAGGGGAAAGCCCATTAAGAGGGTCAAGCACTGCAAACAGCAAGGTTCTCCATTCCTAGTGCTCGAACAACAAGACTCTGGTTATGAGTGGAGGGGGGACCCCTTACTATCTCACCACACCCTCACAATGCAAATAATAGTGCTTCTGGTTCAAAAATTTAGCCTCATTTTTAGAACCCTCGTCATACCTCCCCCCCCCCCCCCCCCCCTAATTACTCCCTTAATTCCGTTTTATGTGACACTATTTACTTTTACTTTTTAGTCTTTTTAACAAAGAATAGCACCTTTCTCTAATTGAAAACAATTTTACCCTTCACTATGATTTTATAGCCACACAAAAGACATGGCAGGTTTAAACTACAAGTTTCAAAAATCTTTATTTCTTTCTTAAACTCCAGTCAAAACACGTTCATATGATTAAACGGGAGGGAGTATCATTTCCAGCTCTTTGCAATTGCTCAAAACCCAGAAAGACCTAAACAGTAAAAATTATATGATTTCACATTCAGTAAATCAAAGTTTTAAGCTTTATGTTACTTACAAAGCTGTAGCAAGATTCATGGTGTCGTGTAAGTTTTTGAGGTGATCAACCACGTTGGCGGCATTCCAGAAAGTACTAGACGCAGGTGGAAAAGCCGGTAATGGCGGAGGTAATGGGCGACCGTAGTGTGGTGGCCCCGGTGGATTCATCGGGTACTACAAGTTTATTCAGAGAAAATTAAAATCAGCTGAAAATTTGTACAACATTGAATCCATTGAGAAGTTGTGGAATTTAATTAAAGTTACCTGCATCTTGGAGTAAAAATGTTAAATCCCAGCAGATGTGTTAATTCCAGGCAGCAATTGGTTCTTGATTCGCGCCTTCTGCATTTTGGTATGCGAATAAGGGCTCAAGAGGTTATAAATGGCATTTGGCAAATGAAATTCACAAACACATGGTGAAATGTTAATATGATGGATCATATATCGCTCCTTGAAAATGCCGTCCTATTGAGGGTCAATATACAAAAAATTTTTATTTATGCACTGTGATTAGCAAGTCAGGATGGCCGAGTGGTCTAAGGCGCCAGACTCAAGTTCTGGTCTTCGAGAGAGGGCGTGGGTTCAAATCCCACTTCTGACATCGTAGTTTTACCATTTTCATTAGATTATTTCTTTTTATTTAATTACCTCTAATTGCTATAAACAACTAAGTTACTTTTCTATTATTAAAAAATAATTTTTACTAGGTAATTTCAGATAGTTGAATGATCAGTTAATGAACACGAGATTTAGTTGACTTTTACATCTGACATCATATTTTTATCATTTTCATTAGATTATTTCTTTTTATTTATTTTTTCCTTTGGCTTTATGTTTAAAAAAATTCTTTTTTGTAAGTAAGAATTTAGTTATTTTGTTATTCAAATATTATATGTGCTTGAATTATTTTTATTATATAAATAAATTTATTTATTCTATAGGTAAGTCTATAATATAGATTAAAAAGAGAAAAAAATATCACAATATTAGAAAAAGTTGATAATTTAGAGGACAAATAAGTATTTAGCCATGAAAAGTCTGAAAAATCTGATTGAGTGACCCTCTAATTACTATAAATATTTAAGTTACTTTTCTAATATTTTGGTAACAATGTGAATATCACCATTAACAAACCAAATTAATACACCTATAGAGCACTTATTTCCATAGCCACCTTCTAGGAAGGGTACTTTGAACAATAAGCCTCCGACACCAGCTAATTACAAATATGCAAAATTGTAATTCAACTAAGTATTCTATGTAAAAACTCTCTACTCCTACGTGCTTTTTTGACGATCTAAGTACTTCTAATCTCTGTACAATTTCTCTCTTTATCTGTGTTGCTACTTCTGCTGGTTTTAGTATAGCACCCCTAAACACTTTGTAATTCCGAGCTCTTCAGGTCTGGTATGTCATGGCTCCCCAAACAGCTGCTATCACCTCCTTTTGAAATGCTTTCCCGTGCTTCCTCTTGATATATTCCAACACCTGTTTCAGCTCTCCGGCGGGGAGTTGAAAATTAGTCCATTGAATAAGTTCAACTCTCTAAGATGTGATCGAATTGTAGTCCACAAATAAATGTATACTTGTCTCCGTAACCAGATGGTCACATAAGCAGCAATTATGATTCTCTACTGGTATGTGCAATGTAAGCAATCTTTCTTTTGTCAACAGTATATCATAGACTACTAGCCACATGTGAAATCTGTATCTAGGTAGAGCTACTGAGTTCCAAATGAGACCTGCCACTTTCATTTTGTTGTGCTCTTCCTTCAGCTGCAAGTAGCTTTTAGTGATTGAATATTCTCCTCCAGCTGTGAGAATGTATCTTGCATGATCATACCAGCTTTGCATCTGGTTCTTGAGGATATTGATCTTTCTCTAGTACCAACTACTATCTTGAAGTGCATTATGGCTCTATGTATCTGAGTCTATATTTATATACACATTATCTATCTCACCCATAGTGAGTCCTTCCTTTCTATCAATTGCCACAATAGCTTACCCACTGGAGCAATGTTTCAAGTTTTGCAATCCTTAACATTTAGACCTCCTCTACTCTTAGGCAAGCAGACCTTATCCCAGAGACTAAGGATGCTTTCTTTTGTTCCCCTGTTTTACCCCATAGATACTCCCTGCACTTTCAATCAACTTCTTTTAAGATGCTATGTGGCAGGATGAAAACCGAGCCGCAAAAGTTGTGTATAGAAAACAGGACAACATCGAGTACCTGCAGCCTTCCAGCATACGATAATTGTCTTGCATAAGTAATTGTTATCCGGCTTGTAATCTCGGTGACCAACTGCTGACATTCAAGCTTACTCCATTTCTTAGATGACAAGGGTAATCTTAAGTATCTAATAGGAAAAATCCCCTGAGCAAATCTAGTCTTATCCAACAGTTGAGCTTTAACTTGATCAGGCACACCAGCAACAAACATGTGATTTATCCATGTTAGCAATAATTCCTATAGCAGCACTAAAATGGTTTAAAGCCTCTAGGACTTTGTTGACCGAGTCTTCATCCCCTTTACAGAATACCAGCAGGTCATCCGCAAAGATCAGATGAGTAAGTTTTAGAGATTTACACATTGGATGATATTTGAAGTCTAGCAGCGGACTCATACAATTCAGGACTCTAGTTAAGTATTCCATTACCAACACAAATAATAAAGGAGATAGAGTATCTCCTTGTCTGAGCCCTTTCTGACCATCAAAATAACCCTGTCTTTCTTCATTAATTTTGATAGTGAACTTTGGAGTGGATACACATGTCATGACCAACCTGATGAACTTCTCAAGAAATCCAAACCTCTTCAAAGCTTCCTCCAAAAATTCCCAACTTACCATGTCATACGCCCTCCTGAGATCTATTTTCATAAGACATCTTGGTGAGGTATTTCAATTATAGTGTCTGAGGAGATCCTGACATATCAAGATATTATGGATCATAGACCTGCCTTGGACAAATGCAGATTGATTATTTGCAACTATATGACTTGCTGCTTCCTTGAGTCTCCTGCACAACATTTTTGAGATGCACTTGTATAACAAATTACAGCAAACTATAGGCCTATACTAGCTTGCACTTTTATGATGATCAACTTTTGGAATGAGGTCAATGTTTGTGGCATTGATCTGTCAAATCATCTTCCTATAATGAAAAAACTCAAGAACAGCTTTAGTGATATCTTTTCCCACAATACTCCAAGCTGCTTTATAGAATCCACTTCCATATCCATCTTTCCTAGGACTTTTGTTTCTGTCACTACTAAATATGTCTGCTTTGACTTCTTCCTCTGTGAACTCCTTTATAAGCTGCATTTGTTGTGTTGTAAACAAAGTGTTCCCGCTCTTAATGATTCTGGATGAAATGGCACCCTAGTTGTTGCCTTCTTTTCTAGCAGGACTTGATAGTAATCTACAAATACATGAGCTATGCTGTCTTGATCAGTTTTCAGCTCAACCAAGTCATTCTTTGTCACGACCCAAAAATCCCTCCGAAGGAGTTGTGATGGCACCAGTCTCTAAACTAGGTAAGCCTAACATTAACTGAGATAATATTTATATTTGCTAACTTTAATCTGAATAACTCTTAACAATTTACAATTCCCAAAACCGGTGGTACAAGTCACAAGCCTTTCTAAGAGTAGTTATACAAAATAAATACATCACTGCTCCGAAACAAAAGGAACAAATGGGAATAAGTACAAATGAAGGTAACTCCGAGGCCTGCAAACGCTGTAGCAGGTTTACCTTGAGTCTCCACCGCAACAACCCGCACAGCTACTATCGATCAAATACCTGGATCTGTACACAAAAATATACAGAAGTGTAGTATGAGCACACCACGGCGGTGCCCAATAAGTATCAAGACTAACCTCGGTGGGGTAGTGACGAGGAACAGTCCAGACACCTACTGGTCAAATAAATTGAACAGGATTTGATAATAAACTATCAATCTAAAAATGACATAGTAATATCAACAACAGGGAAAGAACAAACTACAATCAGTAGAAACAATAAAGAGAAACACGGGTGAAAACGAAGATAATCAGATAAATTAACACCAACATAGCTGGAACACAGACAAGTAAGGAAAAATGTACTCAAACAAGGAAGGCGATGCCAGCTCAATAAGTCATATCGTTTCTGATGCACAATTTCCAGCCATCTCAAACTCGATGTCTCATATCATAACCTCAATTACCAAACTTTTTGCACACCCGGCACCTCGTGCCCATATATTTCTATCTCACTTTACACAACAACGTTCTCATGTTACTCGGTTCATAGGGTCTGTAACCAATACAATTAAGATGTTCAAGGAGTCTCATTTACATAACCTAAGTGGAGTAAAGCATCTAAACCAATTAGGAACTCAACAAGAAAAGATGAAGTTATTTTTCGAAATCATTTAAATAAAGAAAGTACCATTTTCAATTAAAGTACAACATCGAATGAAATATTACCTTTAACAAGAAATTTAATAAATTATCTTAGTAGAAATTCCATTTTTAAGTAAAATACAACCTCAGACGGTTTAAGAAAATTTAATTGAGTAACTAAATGAATTGAAGATGAAACAATTATTGAAATTTGAAGTATTGAAAAATATGTATATAAATACGGCAAAGTATTGAAAACATGATGGGGTTCCTTCACAAAGGATCACAGCGGTTAAGGAATCTGAACAGTTAAAACACTTGAATTGGTAACAACAAATAAACATAGCAAATGGAAAGTGCACGACACCAAAATCCAATTACTAACAAGGATAAGGAAAACAAACACAGAATTTCACTTTCATTTCATATCTTGTTGCAGGCGTGCAACCCGATCCCATTTCACATATCTCGTTGCAGGCGTGCAACCCGCTCCCATTTCACATATCTCGTTGCAGGCGTGCAACCCGATCCCATTTCACATATCTCGTTGCAGGCGTGCAACCCGCTCCCATTTCAGATATCTTGTTGCAGGCGTGCAACCCGCTCCCATTTACAAATCATCATCAATCATAAAAGAATCCCGGCAAGGGAACAAGAGTATAACAATAACATCCCGACAAGGGAGACAATATCATAAACATTAACATCCCGGCAAGGGAACAATAGTATAACAACAATATCCCGGCAAGGGAAACAATATCATAAGCAATAACGTCCCGGCAAGGGAATCAACAAGTGTATAATAAGGGTCATAGAAAAATCAAGAAGCACGATAACCTCAACAAAACAACAAGACATAATAAGCACGTAATAACTACACCGGTAACCACAACAATTGGACATGTAACATATTCGCACGAATTCATAGAGGAACTCATAATCAAGAAGTATCAAAACAATAAGGAAGGCAATCACTTCAATTAAGACAATTAAGGGTCAATGTAACACATGAGAATTAAAGGAAAGCTAACAACGTCATATGGAGCATATAGAGGTAATTTAAGCAACTAGGAAATCCAATCATAACAGGATACTTTCCACATAAGGACCTAAGAACCCTAGAGCAAATTTCCCGCAAATAAGTCCGAGCACCCACTCGTCACCTCGCATGCACGGACTACAATTAGCATAGAAGACTCAAATACTAAGGGGAAGTCCCCCACACAAGGTTAGGCAAGATACTTACCTCAATCCGGCCAATTCAATACTCAATCTAGCTTTTTTCCTTTACCAATTCATCAACGCTCGGCTCAATCCAGCCAAAAACGACTTGAATACATCAAACAATGCAAGAGAATACAATTTCAATTGACAAAACTATGATTCTTATTGCAAAAAGTCAACAAAAGTCAATTCCCCGGGCCTGCACCACAGAAATTTACAAAAATCGAACACCCATTCCGCTACGAGTTCACCCATACAAAAATTATCTATTTTCGATACCATTTGGTCATTCAAATCATCATTTTATATTTTTGAAAGATTTCACAATTTTCTCCAAATTTTCCTTTAGATTCTCATGAATTTGATATTAAATCTAAGATATAATCACGAAATATAGTTGAAAATTGATTATAGACACTTATCCAATGATTTGGAGAATTTTGGGTCCTTGTAAATTCGCCTATGGAGGTTTAGGGCTTGAGAAAATTGAAAAATGGGTGAAAATCTCGTCAAAAACCTCACTTAACAGGTCTCAAATGTCGCATTTGCGATCCAGGGTTCGCATTTGCGAACCCCTCGCAATTACGAACAACGCAGGGCTGGCAAAAGTCGCATTTGCGACAAAAATCTCGCATTTGCGAACTGGGCATCGCAAATGCGAAAAAAAGTTCGCATTTGCAACCACACCAGAACCAGCAATTTTTCCTGACACGAAAATGAGCATAATCCTCATACGATCTCCAAATTCGATGATTCTTTTTCCTATGTCTCCGTAATTTCGATACGGATCTAATGGTTCAAACAAAACTGAATTTGAATGTCATTTGCTCAATGTGGTATTATTTTTTCTTGAAGAAACGACGATGAAGCATCCAAAAACAAGCGCAACATAGCCTAAACCTATCCGAAACTCACCAAGCTCTCGGGGCTCCGAACCAAACATGCACGCAAGTCTAAAAATATCATACGGACTTGCTCGTGCAATCAAATCATCAAAATAATATCAAAAACTATGAATTTAACCTCAAAACTCATGATTTTCTAACTTTTCAACCGGACGTCCAAATCACGTCAAATAAATTCCGGTTTTCATCAAATTTTACAGATAGGACTTAAATATCATAACAAACTTGTACCAGGCTCCGACACCAAAATACGGGCCCGATACCAACGAGTTCAAATATTAATTCATTTCTTTATTTCCTTTAAAAACCAACACAACAATTTTCTTCAAAAATTGTTTTCTAAGGCTAGGGACCTCGGAATTCAATTCCGGGCATACACCCAAGTCCCATATTTTACCGCGGACCTACCGGGATCGTCGGAACACAGATGCGGGTCCGTTTACCAAAAATGTTGACCAAAGTCAACTAAAAACCAAATTTTTAACTCTAAAAATTACTATTTTTTTTCATATTTTCACATAAAAGCTTCTCGGTTTCACGCCCGGACTGCTCACGCATGTCGATTCACATAATATGAAGCTACTCGAGACCTCAAACTGCCGAGCTGGGCGCAATTGCTCAAAACGACCAGTCGGATCGTTACATCCTCCTCCACTTAAACATACGTTCGTCCTCGAACGTGCCCAGAGTCGTTCCAAAGCCATCGAACCACTACATGAGCTCACCACACATACACCCGAGGGTGATTCCCCATCACCCAACCTAAGCAGAGCTGACAATGCAACTTAACTGAAGATCTCATCCCCTCCTTATCCCATAACCTTTTAATAGAACCAAAACCTCAATATCTGAAATTCATCACAGGATCCGAATTCCACGTCATCACACTGCATAAACCTTAACAAGCTGAATCGAACCAAAATTCTAATCCAGAATACAATCACATGCTGCCCCACACAACTCAAATGCCCGAAACAATAACCTCTGACCACCATAACTGCTCAAATAACCTCCTAGATGCCGGCAATACACCTCACATCGAATATAACCTTGTTCCGAACCTCCACCTTGCTGCTCCTGATAAAGAAACATGCGAGAAGTCATAGCCGCCCATGAAGACAACAAGTCAAGAAACTCTCTCGCCCGCCAAGGGCCATTACCCAAATCTTAGCAGAAACAACCACATACATCCAAGCACTCCTCACCCCCAATACCATAGTACAAATCTCAGGTCTAAGAACCTCATCTCGACCAATACAAGCAGCCGAACTGATGACTCATCATGGAAACACACAAATTCTCACACTACACAGCTCGTACACTGAACCAGCTATAACTCAATTACGTAACACAAATAAGGAAAAGCAAAGTAGAAAAATTTCCTAACAAGTGTAACATGTGCAACAACAAAAATATAGTTTTCATTAAATTGTTCCACAAAGGAAAAGCAGAACCCCAAATAAACACAAGGAAAGGGTATCTCATACAACATCCGTTGCGCGCGCGCAGCCCGCTCCTAAATACTCATCAAGCCAAGATGCTCGGGTCCACTGATCACATAAATATTGATATCAGGCACAGCAGAGTGCATAAGTAAAACTGTGGGAACAATGAGTAGAAGTGCTAGAACATGAAAGAAACAAGCACAGCTAAGGTGCAATGAACAAATCAACATCACGAGGGCTATCTTGCCCGCATCGCCATAAGGCCTGAACAGAATTACAACATGCGTGGGGAATAATCATACAACCTCACCGCCTAAGACAACATAAAAAAGTAGCACATAACATAGGCTAGGGGCACAAAT